AAGCCACCCTTTTATCAACATTATGCTTTATTTGATCCACTTCTGAGCGTTACTCTGCCAGGCTAATGTAACACATAACATTGGTTCAGTTCTGCTGTTTGTTTCACTGTTCCCACTGGGCACTGCATGTCCTACACATCGCACACAGAAAGAGAGAAATTTCTTATTACATTACTATTCGAAACTAACCAAAACCACCCCGAGCCTGAAGCTGTATGAGAAGAGATGACCCGGACTCGACCTAAAACCCGATAATTTGTCAGGACCCATCAGGCTTGAGTTGGGTAACGGAATGGCTCTCTGATCGCAGCATTACCTTGATCTAATGTAGAGCTGAATGTTAAGAAATTCTAATATGTTGCAACTGTCACTGAACCCATGTGCAACTCATCAACACTCATCAGTTACTGTGTGACGGCTCGGATGACGCACAGCTGCCTGCTGTCGTGCCGTTTTGGCTGACAGTGTCCCCAGCTAGGAAACCAGTTTCCTCCAGTGTCCCATAGTGGTCTTGTGGTGAGGGGATAGTGTATTTCTGTGGTGACTGACAGTATATTACTTCTATTACTCTTACCATCCCAGACAGTCTTCGGGGGCCTCAGCTAGTTAGGTAATGACTCCTTTAGGTCTCGTCTAATTGATACCAGCGCATCCCGGGGTATAAATCAGCCAGGCAGTGGTCAGATAACAGCTGCCAGGGAGAAAACCGACACGGTAAATCAATGTCTCCGATTCCCATCTAATCTCGCGCGAGCGTTTGCCAGAAATGCATTTCACTTTGGGGAAGATTCCCATCCGCCCTGTTCTCCCACCACCCACTTTGTTCCCCGAGGGTTTGAAGGTTGTGTGTTATTCCGCGGAGCACGCTCTCTTGTGTCCAACTATGTCCATAGTTAGTGTATTACCTACGGTAGATGTCGGTAGGAAGACTCAATGTAGTGCTGTGGACGGGGGGCAGCAGCGGAACGTATTTTAGACATTGAAAAAAAAGACGTTTTTGTCAACGTAGTCCTGTGGCTTTGAAGAGAGCATGGATACATTTCAGTTCAGGTCAGTCTGATGGCAAGATGAAGCAGGGAAAGTATTCAAAATATGGCGTACGCTTCTACTGATATTGACTTTTTTTATTTATTTGGTGTTTAAAATACATTTTGCTTCTGCCCCCTGTCCACAGCAGTACATTGAGTTTGTTTCTCCAAACTGGGGGCGCACTGACCGCCATCTACTCTCGGTAATATACTGACCAAGATGAAGAACCTCATACAACCCCTCTTCAAATAAAACAAACCATCCCTTTAAGTGGGGATTGAGTGACATATGCCTCCAATATTTATCATTTCTCTTACTGCCACTATGTGTCAAAGGTCAAGACTCCCAAAAAGATCTTCTGCTCCTTTATTTTGTTCATCATCATGCTTTCTCATTTATCTGTGTCCATGTCTTCTTTGCTCCATTTCTCTCTCTCTTCCCCATCGTCGCTTGCTTTCTGTCGTCCTCCGTAAACACGTTGGTAACACAGGCTCACAGGTAACTCCCACCTCCTCCAACACTTTCCCAGCTCTTTTCCTTTACCTCCTTAACATTCCCTCCACTCCTCCCTTCTCATGGCACAACCTCACAGCTCAGCGGCGTAATGTCTATTGGGCTTGTCTGCTGACGCATCTCTGGAAAACGAACCGAAATGACGGCGGTACGGTCATACATTGAGAGATTTGCCTCTGACTATTATTCAACCTGGATGGAAGAATGGAGTTAAGAGGTGAAGAAAGAAAGGGATCCCCCCTCATTAAAACCACTCCCGATCAGGGTGATTATTAAGAGTGCTGGCTGCTGCTGCTGGCTGTAGCACCAGGATGCTGCGGTCAACTGGGCTGTAAATGACACATGGTGAGACAGGAGAAAATGCTTTGATGAACTGTGTATGTGTACGTGGATGTGTTTTTATTTCCACTTGTTCACCTGGGTGTGCGTGGTCTGTATTTACATGCATTTGGCTTTTTTCTTTTCTGTATGTGTGTATGAATATATGTGTGTGTCTCCTTTTGTATGTCTGTGAGTGAAAGATCCTCCGTTTAACAAGCCAGTTTGGGAGTTCCCTTTGCGCTGTCTAATAAATCCTAGTCGTGAAAATAAACCCCACGTCCACAGTTCAGTAAGTAATCTCTAACAGCTCGCTCCGCGCCACAACACCGCGAGACATTAGCAGGTGGACTGCCAACTTGTATCAACAGTGTCTTTCCTGAGAGAAATGAGTCATCCCTGTGTAATATTTCCCCCATGAAGATTTATTCAAGAGCAGCACTCTTTCATTGGATACCCCCCCTGTTGTGTTAATGCGCTCCAACGTTGAATAAGATGTTCCTTCGTCAGCTGACCAAGCCAGGAAAGATGTGAGGATGCTTGTGTCAAATTCTCTCTCTCTCTCTCTCTCGCTCTCACACACACACACTTTGGTGCTGTGTCTCCCTCCCTCCATGTCTATATCTATGTTTGTCCTCATTTATCACCTCCTCCCCACTCCCTTCATAGGCCTTTCCATCTCTTCCATCTAGCCTGCTTTACCTCAAGTGAACCCCAAGCAAACTAAGGTCAAGGTCTTTCCTCAAAGGACTGATATATAAATAGGGAATTGCCATATTTGTGAAACAGGGGTGTCAGGTGGAGAGCGGTCAGCTATTGGTGCCTCTGGGAGATGGAGCGAGCGCAGCAGCTCTAATTCAGCCTACACAAACCCTCCAGTACCAGGAATCCCAGTGGGCTGGTGGAGCGCTCATTCTAACCTGTGCAAAGGCGACAACAGAATGTTTGGCAGTAGATATCTCTGTAGCACCAGGCGGCAACTTCCAGATCTGAAAAATTAAGCCAATGAGGAAGTGCCTTATTATACCTGCATTCTCTCTAATGTCCATCAGGGGGCGACTCCTCTGGTTGCATAGAAGTCTATGAGAAAATGACTCTACTTCTCTCTTGATTTATCTCTCTCAATCTCTAGTTTCAAGTCTTCTTCAATACAGCATGATGTTCATCTAGTAAATGATGGTCCATTTAGAGTCAAACAGACCATAAAGCAGAGTATGCTTTAGGGCGGGGCTACTGTGATTGACAGTCTTTACCATAGCGTTGTCCGCGTTTTCGTCTTAGACATGTAACCCTTTCTCAGTGTGTTTCAATTCATGAAAGTTAATTATCACATTTTGGTCGCCTAAAAATGTCAGTGTTCAATTGTACTTAGCTCCACCCTCCAAGATTGCGATGGCCAAAAAACAAGATGGTGACAGCCAAAATGTCAAGGCTTCCGTCGACAAACCAATGTTTGATGTCACGGTGACTACGTTCACTACAGACGTAGTTTTTGACGTTTGTTCATTTTTGGAATGTTTTCAATTAAAATTTCTGGCCAAAACGTCGACGTTACCTTAAGAGATAAATACAAATGATGTTGCAGAAGACACCTTGTTTTTTGAACCTATATGTTGACCATCAGTCTACTGATATCGTATAATATAACTTCATTTTAGGTTTTACCAATGTTTACCCCTTAGAGATGCCTCTGCTTGTTACTGTTTTTTTATGTGACAATCAAACCTTTCTGTCAAATTGTCCCTCTTTATTTTGTACAACTGTTGACATTTAAAGGTCAAGTCAGTAAACAACAGAAACTGCTTAACTTTTAGTGAGGGACTAGAACAGGTGTGTGGTTACTCTCCCAGACTTCCAGTCAGACTGGAGTGAGAATTACTAGAGTGAAGAGGCATCTTTAAAGAGCTGCTTCTCAGGGCATTATTAGTCATCTAGAGTTGAGGTTTCCAAATGGGCTGCTGCTGCTTTGCTGCTGCTTTAACCAAATCAGCCCTCCCATGTCAACGACGAGCAGTAAGTGGTTTCAGTCCGCTTATTTACGGGACCAAAAGTTCAGGACGGCCTGTTACCACGGTGAAACCACTCTGTGTGAATGGAAAGGACGGAGAATGCTGTGCTTATTAACTTGGGGCTTTTGCTGCTTTTGCTTCTTGCAGGATGAGTGGGTGTTTGGCTCCTCCTGTCTGGTTCCCATCAGGGTTTTCCTCACTCTCACATCATCTCTGCTAAACCTTTCAGTTCACCCTAATCACAGAAGCAGTTTGAACTTGAACCCATACAGGTTCAAATCGGTCAAACCATGACCCCAGAGCACCTCTGTTCAAAGAGACAGACGGCTGTCTGCTCTTCTTATCGACTCAGGATGTGTTTATTAGCCTCGGACACAAACATTGGTAAATGGACTGTACTTGTGTAGCGCTTTTCTAGTCTTTTCTAATCTTTTCTGATCCTGCTCTACCAGTGAGCCACTCTGAAACTCTCACTCGCAACTTATTTTTAGTCAGTCTATTTAAAAGCATCCTCTGGTACATACCAGCAGACTTACAATAAGTCAAGTTTGCAATTGTTCTTCAGACATCCATTCAGAATCATTAAGCTAAAGTGGCTTGTTGAGTCATTGTTAAAGAGACAAATCACGTTCTCCTCTTTCAGAGGCAAAGTGTTTGTGTTAATGAGTACAATAGTTTGGAGGCCAGTGATGTGGTCGATGTAATTGTACTGTATGTTTTACTACTGTGATATCACACAGGCAGACTGTCGTAGTGAGTGGTATCTTGGTTAAAAAACACAGAGGCAAGCGTTTGTGCAGCTGAATTCTGAGGTTGAATTGTTTATGCGTTTCAGTTTTATCTGGCATGGTTGCGCTTGTATCAATGAACTGTGTTAGTTTTTGTATCTAATTAGAGATATCAATGGTTCACTTTGGAACTAGTATTTATTTTAGACATTTTCTCGTCTATTTGAACCATCGTTCCTCTTTCTTCCCAATGTAATCACTAATTTAGTGGCCGCTCCTTAGTACACAGGGTTTGACGAGACATTGTTCCTCATCACAGTCCAAAGCGTCTTTGACGGAACTCTCCGTAGTTCCACCCTGTGCTCTACATGCCTTTCATCGCTACTCCTTCCTGTCTCTCTAGATGCGGTCCAGGCCGCATCCGTGCAGCTGGAGCTGCGGGATCTGTCGGCGAGGACGGGGCTGAGGGAGCGAAGCCGCCTCCTTCTGGGGCCGTTCTCCAGCAGCGCCTCCCTGGAGGCCCGCTGGTGTCGGCACAGTGGCAGCCCTGGATCCGAGCCCGGCCCCCCCGAAGCTGCTGCTGGACCTGAAGGGAGGCCTGCTGCAGGTCTGTATACCTGTGACATCAATTCAGCATCCTGAGTTGCAGGATTTCTCAACCCGGGACAGCTAAAGTCTCTCGAGGTTTCGGGTCAGATCAGCACCGCTAAACCAGGGTTGGATTGAGACACTTAAACTACTCTCTTGCAGCTGGAGTGATGGCAGTAGGAACTGCATGCTGTAATTCCACTGTATATTTGAGTCACCTCTGCCGGTTAAGTGGTGGAATATTAAAAGCCTATTTTTAGCGGTTGGGGTTTTATCCTATGTGTGCCTATTTTCCTGTGAGAAGTTACATAATGGTCCACACTGAAAAGTCCCCTTTTTTCAATGTGACTAACTGAGCACATTATTACTAATGTATTATTCCACATTACTTCTTCGGGGGGGGAAGCCCCTAACCCCCTCCCCCCATTCTCAATGGCTCGCTTAATGCTTTTATTGCGTGCCCATTAGCAGAAACATGATTCGTAACTCCACACTTAATATGCAATCATACATTTCCCACTGTAAATATTGGTGTGTGTGGTGTTTCAATCAAGTGCTGAGCAGAAAAACCACCGGAATTCCTTCCGATTCCTTTCTTCTCGTGCTCTCTTTCCAAAAAAACCTGGGGAGAAAAAAGAAAATCCCCAAATTTTCCTGTTTTTAGAGTTTAGTCATAACCCACCCTTGCAAGCTAGTGAGTAGCAGGCAAGCAGGCAGCTCCATGTGTGAAGAGTTTTTGACTCAGAGATTCCGGGTCCTCGGTCCAAACCCCAGGCCGACTGGCTTTGATGGAGCACGGGGAAGGGGAATGCCGCGGGTAAGTGAGGAGGATGTGAGGTTGTGTTGGGCAATGCGAGTCAGGACATGAAGGGGTGATGACGAGGGTAACCCTGTCCGCCTCTCTTCCTGTTTTGGAGAAGAATGTTAAATTATCGTAACCGTGCGTATTTATGCATCAGCTGTGAGTCTGCGTCACTGTCTAGCTTTCTGTCTTATCACGCTCTTGTTTTTGAACTTCTCCACGCTCTTTAAGTGGTCCCTCCCGACCACCTCACCGTCTCTACCTCTTCTGTCTCGACAGGTCTTCTGGGGCCAAGAACACCTGAGCTGCGTGAAGATGGTGGAGGAGCACCTAAGGGTGTACCTCAACCTCCAGAAAGGTGCAGATATAGATCCGGCTGAGAGCCGTTCCAAGGGCAAGGCCTGCCCCATCCAGCCCCCTCCTTCCCCGGGCTCTCCCTCCCCTCAGACGGAGCACAGCTCAGATGACCTGCGCACGGGGCATTTTCAATTCATCCAGGACTCAGGTGAATGTTCGTAGAGTGGCAAAGGGGCTGATAGTGTAGCGAGGCTGGAATCAAGGTAAATCCTATTTCTAGTGACAGGATTGCTCAGTGGAACTTTGCATTCCTCAGAACAGCACCTCACTCGATGTTCTGCAGAAGCCAGACTGATTTATCAGCTTATATTCCTAGCAGTTAGTCGCAAACAGACAAAAAGTATTATCCAACACTCTTTACCTGGACATACGGTTTCCCTGCTATTTCTTAACAAGGTTTTCAAAATGGATGGAACAGTGGTAAGCACGAGTCCCTGAATCCACAGGAAAGACGGTAACCACGGTCATTATAACTGCAGTTGGTGCTCAAGTTCACTTCACAAGCGCTAACTCAAAGTTCAGTTCACACAGATTCAAATGAACTAGTTCACATCTTTCTTTCTTCGTAAACTGGTCAGAAGCTCTTAATCAGTCTTTCAGACTTATTTTCAGCATCCTGACCAGCACCACCAGGCTCAGGAAGAGCTTGTCGTACGACCTTTGAACTCTGACCGCATCACTATGACACTCTACACCAATATACTGTCACTTTACCTCTTCACACCTCTGTGTGTGTGTGTGTGTGTGTGTGTGTGTACATATATATTTACTTACACAGATTTTCATATTGCTTTTACTTCTGTGATTTTCCTCTCTTGATATCAGCCTACATATTGAATGAACATTCAGAGGGGAACCTTAGTTTCAAGAGCTAACGACACCATATGATAATAACGGACATGACACTGGTCTAAACAACCTGCACAGTTATAAAAGAAAACAGACGTGAGTCGAGCGCACAGAACTGTATCCGCAAATGGAAACGCGTCCTCGAGAGGGAGCATTTCTGCTCCGCGTGCGCAAATGTGGATTTGCACAAAGCTATAACAAGCTCGACCCTCACTACGCCGCTTGCTGGTCAAGTTGACATTCCAGACTTTGGCGGTGGGGACGGACAGATGGTGGCCAATGTCTGTCTCTGCCCCCTTCATTGCCATCACTGCCATGCCATCATAATCTGTTCCGATAATGTACGTTAAGCTCACGCTTATAAGTTGCAAGCGTATACGTTCAGTTCAACGAAAACATTCAAGCATGTTAAAGAGCGTGTTCATGCACGACACTGTTGGTACAATCTTTGAAAAAAAGGAACCTTTGTGCCAAAGTGAGATGTCACTTAAGATACACACGGGCTTAAATCAAAGTCAGATCAAAGCCCTCTGTGGAAAAAAGTTTCATCGGACATGTCTGCCTGGTTCCACTCTGAGTAACATGCTGTTTATTCCCCCTCTTTGTGCTCTGTGTGTGCTGTCCTCTGTGTGCACACACACACACACACACACAGACACAGACACATTATACACAGAGGATCAAACTTGTCTCTGGCTGTAGACCAGCCGTCCACTCCGTCAGCTGTGGTTGAGTCTTTGTTTGTTGCACTGTTCCACTGCTCTTTGATGCGTTTAATATGCTGGCTGGAGCAGGAGAACGTACAGTAGTGAACTAGAACAGAGAGCACAATCTGTCTGCAACATGTTGTCAGCGGTCAGGAGACAACCGGTGGAGAACAGCGAGTGGCCCCCGGGGGCCCGACACAGGGATGGATGGGAGAGTTGGACGGAGGAGGAGATGAAAGATGGATTGAGAGACGGGTAGAGGGGAGTCTTCTGTCCCCCGTCTCTCACTTCAAGCTAACTCCGATGAAAGTAAAACCTCATGAAAATCTGTGTTTTTCTTCTTTCATTCGCCCTTTTTTTCCTCAAAAGAACAATAATGCCGTTCCACCCTCAAGTGGGCAGCTCACCGCCTTCACATGAAGGAAATAAAAATTGCCACGGACAGCTTTTGCTGACTCGCAGTGTTTGTTCCTCCGGGGGCCAAACAAAGCAGCAGTTCTCCGCTCCACTGTTTTTTTTCAAATAAACATTTTTCCAAAGGACGTGAATCTCAAACAGCAGCCACGACTTAAGTCAAACACCACTCAGGGGTTCAGACCCAGCGTTGTCCAGCTTTTGCAGGTGCTTGGCGGGGTTCAATCAATGGCTGTTTACTCCATAGTGAAAATGTTTACTCAGCCACTTTGTTTATACACGGCTTCTTACGCATATAAACATTCTGAAAGCGTGGAAACTTCTACAGCACTTCTTTTGGGAGATATTATTCTTGGGAGGGTTCGGATTCCGTAGTAGAACATCGCAGCATCAAAGTTAAACGCAAGTCAAAGTTGTTGTTGTTTTTTGCAACATCAGATCAATTTCATAATGGGAAAAGAATGACACACTGTTGTTCATCCCACATTCGCATTTTCTTCCCATTAAGGTTAAGCCTTTAAAACAGGCTTTTTGTTCTGGAATCCTGTGTAGTAGTTTTTTTATGATACCAGAAGACTTTAGCGCAGTAAACTTGTAATCTGCTGTATCTTAAAATATAAAATACTGCTCCTCTGTTCTGTGTTTCCTTCCATTAACTATATTCCCTCAGCCTCTCACCGTGTGTTTTCCCTCTCTTTTTTTATGTCTTCCTGTAAAGCACAGTCTAAGCTTTGCTTTTTGATCACTGACAGATTCAAGTGAAGTTATTCTGATGGTAGTATTCATTTTGTGGCAGCTTCCCAGAGGCTGCCGGGGCCCCATGAGGTGGTGTTCTACAGCGAGACGGAGGACAGCCCTGGGGTGATGCTGTGGAGGTACCCTGAACCGCGGGTCCTCACCTTCGTCAGGATAACTCCCGTCCCTTTCAACACCACGGAGGACCCTGAGATCAGCACTGCCGACCTGGGGGACACCCTGCAGGTAGGGGCCGACACACATGCGTGTATCTCTTGATTAGAAAAAAATGTTCACGTTATACTCCCAACATATCTATTTTGGGTAAATTAATTGTTATATTAATCAGGAATTTAACAAATAATATTTAGAATAGTCAATAAATTAGTCTTTAGAATAATCTGAAAAAAATAATTGATCTTTTATTTATTTATTTATTTCGATTAAGCCCTACTTCCAGGTGCTGTCTATCTTCACTACCAATGTTCTAAAGACCCTACCCAAACATAAACACACAGCATATTGTGAATAAATGTGGGAAACTCTAAGGAAAGGAAGCCTACTACTGTATAAAGAAGGCGAAAGAGACTCCACTCATCTCTCTCACTGCTCCCTGCTTAACATCACCTGCAATGAAAGAGAAATAAACTGTCTTGGAGTTGGGCTGGGGGCCATTTATAATTCCCATGACATGAGTCATGAGAACTTCCATTCCCTCCGTGTTATTGAATGACTGAGACCCCCGCTGACTCTCCAAACATGTACTACATGGTCAGACAGCTGTGGAAGTCATCGTGCATGCTCCGGTGTGAATAGCCAGGTGTCTCTAACCCCAGATGAGGTTATAATTTGGCAGAGCGTAGCAGCTACTGAGTCTACAGGGCCTCAGCGGGGGACAGGACAACCCAATTTTCCCCCTATCACTCATCCTCGGCCTCTCTATCCCCCGCCTCACTTTCCAGCTTATCGTCCTCGAAGGCGAGCTGAATCCCAAATCCCGTTCTCTGGCATCCTCCTCTGTAATCTTTCTCTTTTTTTTTCCTGGAGCTATTTTTAGGTCAAACGCCCTGACACTGTAATAAGCCAAGTCACTCCGTGTCCTCTTATTTATTGACCATGCAATTAGGAATGGCATTTCTGGTAATACAAAATACAAAACATGTTTTTTGTCATCCTGTTAGCTACGCTTAACCCAGTCCTGTTCCTGAACTAATGTATTGTTCCTGTTCTTTTTCCTGCTCATATAAAGTTTCACAGCTTGTTTTGGTTATGTTTAGTCAGATATTATTTTAATTTCTGCAGTTATTGAGGTTTCTAGAAATTCTTTGTGGCAAAAAGTCTTCAAAAGTCACGTAGAAGCAGAAGCTGAGGATCAGCCGTCCAGCAGCTCATAGTGAAATGCAGTGCAAGGATAGCTAACAAATGTATTAGAATAAGAGGATGTGATGAATACACAGATATGACTCTAGCAGTACATCATTGCATTGACTGGTAAGAACGTGATATAAAAGCTAGTTGGTCAACGTTCTATATCTCTTTTGATCAAAGATCAGGTGTTATATGTAAATACTGTGAAAGTATCCAAATGCTCAATCCACAGAGAAATGGACACAGTTAGTATTCAGAAACTGAGCTGTCATGACACAGGGGCTGTGATGTCATAACTACACTGGTAGAAGTGATGCTAAACTCTGTGTTGTTGACACGTGAGTGCAGGTATGCTGTGAATGGGGGGGACAGCACGGATACAGAAGACCGGAAACACCCACCACTCAGAACAGATAGGCTTTTATTTTCGGAGAAGCAGGTCTTAAAGAGATAGGCGCTCTGTCTGTGTATTCAGACTGTGTTTTTTGAACAGTAAACCAAAATACAAGAATGAACCTGAAAATTGATGTCCCTTTAAAGTATAGACTTTACTATAATGTCATTTTTCTGTTTTTTGTTTTTTTTCTTGACTAGCCACTACTTATGATGTATAGTATTTATCACATATTTATTTCATAATGTTATTCCCAGCCATTATTGCTATTGTTTTTACCTCTGTCGTGGTGGTGAAATGTGGCCCTGGAGAGACACCTGCTGCAGCGAGCACTACCACAGAAGAGGTTTCGGTGTTTATATGTCTTTCTGTCTGTCTCTGGGGCAGATTTTGTCACCACAATTGCGTCACAAGATGCAGTCATGGAGGTGTGTAATTGATGGTGGGGTCAGAAGCAGGCGGGTAAGAAGTGAGGAAGGGGCCATTTTGATTTGGTGTCGCAGCTGGTGTGAACCCGTCACAAGAAATTATTTCTGAAATTAATGACGGTAGTTTTATTTCATTTCCAGCCCATTAATAAGGACTTATTAATTACATGTTTAAGCCTCGGGGTTAGGTTCCTTTTCTCTCTCCGCACATCCTCCCCTTTATCGCTCCGATTCTTTCCCAGACTCCCACAATCATTTCACCTACAGCGCAGATGTTTTCTTCTCATCCGTTCGGCCCAGGAGAGACGAGACACTGGAAGGTGCTGCAGATGTCTGGCTTCACAGCGAGGCCCCACAGCTGTAAAGTCTGTAATGAGCGAAACTCCAAAGCCTCTCGCTGATTGGCCACATATTGAGTTACAGTGGAGAGCGGAGGGAGATAATGTGTGTGACGAAGGGAGGGCGAGAGGAAGAGGCGGTCGGAGACAGAGTTAAGGGTGGATAATGGGAGAAGATGGACAGGAAGGAGAAGAATGGCGATAGATGGTCACAGATGGAGGTGGTGTCTTTCACCAGCTGATTGAACGAGAGCTCGATGAAGGCCCGACAGCAGATGCAACAAGTGTTGTTCACATGATTCACATGTCTGTCGTTCACTTAGACAGCGGCCATCAAATGTGAGCTAGCGTGGGTGCCAGCATGTATTTCTGCAGCTGTACTTCCATCTCTATGACCGCTGGACGTATTCGAGAACCGGCGGTTGACGAGCATGTGGTTTCCTCATCATCTGCTCCGCTCCTCGTGTCATCTGGCGCGGTCCTGTCTCCTCTGACAAGTCTGTTAAAAGGAATCAGGTGATGAAACTTCCACGGTGGGGAGATGATGAAAGGAGGAGGCTCTGAGCACCCGGCTATTACTGAAACCACTTGGTGTGGGGATGAGATCCAGCGGGGGCCAGAGAACAGCAAGGAATGCTAAGTCAATGGAAGCCATTGTTATTGACGGCTAAGAAAAGTCTCTCACAAGTTTTAAAAGAGAACTAGAAACCACCTTTAAGGAGTGACTGTCCTAATTCTGTAGCTTGTGTTTGTGCGACACCCACATAAAGTCTCATCCATGGCGGTAATATGACACTTGGACTCCACAGCAGTCAACATGTTAACAAAGCTATGGCTGATAACATTCATTTAGTTTATCTGAAAACCGGTTTAAATCCATTGTTGAAAGCGACTGCGATGCATTTAGTCAAAAACACAGCATCACGTATCATGTGCTGTTTTGAAAAGAGTGATTGTCAAGTAATTATAAGACATTAGGTGAGTTTACTGATATGTTACACAGTCCTCCTTACCTCGTGTTTCAATCCAAACAAAATACTAAAACCAGAAAGAAATCCAGTGACTGAAAAAGGAAATGCAGCCATAAAACAACAAAAGAAACAGTAATGGTTCAGTTTCAGTTCCAAAGGAATTTTCATTTACTTCACATCCGGGCTGTGCAGAGAGAAAGAGAGAGAGAGAGACGGGGGGGGGGGAGAAAAGGCAGTCATAATTTCTCAGGCCTCTAAAATTACCATGTGGCCACACGGAGATGAAGGCTGATAGATTTTGAGAAATGGAAAGTGAGAGGCGTAGGGAAAGAAAAAGAAACACGGAGGGAAAGAGCGAGAGGGACGTGTGGCGTCGAGCTGTCTTCTCGTTCCTCCCCGTCGCTCAGTCGGCTCTACGACCGTTTACCGGCAGGTGGATAGCGAGGAGGACAAGGTGACCTAAATAAAAGTGGCTGCTCTTCACATTTTCTCCATCTTTTCATTCTATTCCTCCTCCTTTTCTCTCTCCTCTCCCTACATCTGCCTTTGCTCCCCGTCTCCACCCAGCTGAATAGATGGAAGGTGGAGTTGATAGAGGGGTGCGGGGGGGGGGCGTTCGTTGCTCTGAGCCATGCTGCTCGCTCGTCCCCCCGGAGCAGATCATATTAACATTTTATAAAATCAAGATTTCCTGCATTTAAATAGTTGTGGTTTCCCAACTGGTTCCAGTGTATCGGAGGGGGAATTCAAACCTTCTTCCATTACTCAAAGTCAAATTGCACTGCACTGTTTTTACATACAGTAGAAGGGGAACCATGTCAGAGTGATTGGGTTTGGGAGGTGGGGGGGGGGAGCAGCCGCAGGTTCCTGCCCGTAGAGGGCCCAAGTGATGATGAGGGGATAGAAGGTGACTCATTCTCACCTTCTCACCGCCGTGTGGTCCGGCCCTCTGAATCATAAGCAGGTGTCCTCACTGCTCCTTTTTTCCGTCCGTCTCTCTTGCTCGATTCTCTGCCTCTCTGCGGGGCTCTGAAAGCCTGAGAAAACCGGGAGTGAACACAGGAGCTGGTGATTCAGCCTGACGCCAGCTCAGAGGAGGAGCAGGAGGAGGAGGAGGTACAGTTTGTTAAAGTGGAGTTCAGCCTCCGCGTGTAGTCATTCGCTTTTTTTTACCAATACTAGCTTTTTTCCAATATCCAAATAAATGTGATCATTCCTTTGCTGTTCCGGCGGGTACCCAAAAATCGCAAACATCACACCATCTGCTCCCCTGCTGTTGCTTCTTCGTACATGGCACTGTGGGATAGGCTTTCATGTCCCGCGACCGATATCATAAAAGCTCTGTGGCCTGAGATGAACCGGCAACCTTTGAGTCATAACCGCTTCTGCAGCTGCTGTTGCTGCCATTGTCGTCATCATGAGAATCGCAGGTCCACCCTCCGCTTCACATCCTTGTTTCACGTCCCTTTTTTATCTCCTTTGCGGGGAGTTAGAATCGGAGAGGATTCGGTGGGTGTTTCACTGCGGAGCGGACCCCAAAAAAGAGCAAAAGAGTGTATTTTAGCCAGGATCACTGTTATTTTAGTGGGACAGCGCTCAAGCAGACCTGCATTATTCACAGCTTATGCACTATAAAAATACGAGACTGTCCGTGTGGTTAATTTGATCTGGAGCTTTTACACCTCATTCACCAAAAACTTTGGCATTGCAGAGTAAAAGGAAGAAAAAAAAAGTGGAGCGTGAAGATCTGGGCGTGGGATTTTCCGCTCTGATTAATGTTAACCTATATTAGCCCACCTGAGACAGCATAGCGGGAGTCGTTTTCAGAACAATTTTCATTACATCTCCTGAGTAAACATTTGCTCAAGCCGACGTCAATTCAATTTGTCCGCCGGCTGATAAGAGGTAGCTAGCAGTGGATTTTTCGGACACATAGGCATCAGTGGAATAACAGAAGACCTAATAGCAGTGTTGATATTGTTAATAGGAGCAATGGCAGACGAGGCTGTGGGTGTCGGCGGCCGCAGCCTCGGATGGGAGCTTGGGGAGTCTTCAGTTGCACGGACATGTTTAAAGTTCAGCAGCGATCGCACCTGGGTCCATCATGGAAATTGAAATCATTTCTGTGTGTTGTGTATTTGCTTTAGTTTTGCCTGCCTTCAGTTAACCCTTTTTTTGAGAGAGAGAGAGAGACTGTGATTGGTCAATCAGTCCCAGAGAAGTAACTCCATGCAGAGAAGTATGTTGCGGTTTGGCAGAAACAGGGTCCGGGTGACAGGGATGGAAATCAGATGTGTGTGTACACAATGCTGCCAACAGTCCTGGATTTGAATGCATTCGTAAAGAGTTTTTGAATATTGAAACCACTCGAAAAGTCCTTAACGTTAGCTTTCTGGGCCTTTTGAACCACCTCCAAAGTGGAACCTTGACTCAAAAAACATCAAGATAGCATGTAAGATAAGCCCTGGGCTGATGTTTTGTCCCGAGGCCTAGCTGCCAGCCTTCTGCTTGAGGGGAACACAGATTGCACCCCTTTAGCCAAAGGGGAATGTCAGCTATTCGGGGTTACGTGTTGTTTATCAGATAAGGTACACACACAATCAGGCAGCGGAAACCGACGCTGCCCGGACTGTATCACGCACTCACATACGTGCGCACACCTGTATATACACACGTGTATACACGCGTATTGTCTTTCATACACGCAATTATACTTGGACACGTATACACAATCTGTTTGACATATACACAGGTGCCTTCTCCTCCCAGGAAGCCATTGCCAAACGTCCAACGTAGCAAAAAAATTGTATTTTGGGGGTTTTCGTTTTCCAACATTATATCTTTTTTTTTTGTTGCGAGCTGGTTATCGATTTCATCTCCACACTTTCTCTAAGGCCAAAGTCAAAGGGAACATGACGCACATTCAGCCATGCAAATGTATTCCACTGTACCATACATGCACCTCACATATTCGTTTCTGCATGCCGTCATGTGTATAGAATATCACAGGTGAAAAAAGAAACCACCCTCTCTGTTTAGCAACGCGGTTCTGGGAATCGTCCGCTGAGATTCAGTGAGTTTCCGCTCCGGTGGCTCAGTGTGTCGGGGTTGCGGGTGCACCACTCTTGTCGGGTACAATTATGAGCAGCGGATTCCAGGAAAACCTGTGTGGCATTTCATACATGATGTAAGCTCACGGTTACCTCATGCATTCCTCCCCTAACAGTACACCGCACCCACCGTGCGTACGAAACAACACACACACACATGTTTTGTGAGCACAAAGCTTCTCACACACAGTCTTGTTGACGGTTCCATGGGGTTCGGTAAGCGCCCGGGGAGCATCGGTACCTCCGGTAAACAATTGGATTGTCACAGACACATTTGCTCAGACAAATGCCCTCGCTCACCCATAAACAGCACACACACACACACACACACTGGCATCCTGCAGGTGTGCTGCTAAAAGCTCCCTGCCACCACAGATCCATCAGAGTTGCGCAGGTGGCCAAGGGAACTCAAGAACCTGCTTTTAGTTCACACAGGAGCACCAGACACATTTATGCTAATTATGGCACGATGTGTGAGTAACGAGTTGAGCCCGACCAGTCATTCACACGAGCTGATTGTTATTCAGTGTGAGAAACAGCTCAGAAACTTCAATGCTAATGGATGTCTCATAGCATACAGTTGGCCCGGGGTCTAGTCATGCAGATGTAGTTGTCGTCTCGCTGCGTTGGTGGTCTGCGCTTGTTGTTTTTTTCCAGACTACATGAGAAATTATAGATTGGTTTGTCTGAAGTGAGTGAAATTTAAGGTTGTAATGCAGACACCATTAAAAAGAATAAATCGCTTGCTCATTCCTTCTCCAAGCCGGGGGATTCCCCATGTCCTGAAAGGGTCAGTAAACTATCGATGATAAATGATCAGCAGACCACTGCTTAATGCTTTATGTGTAACTGGGGGGGATCTACAGCACTGAAAGGAGTACCTGTTGTGCAATAACAAAGCCTCACAGAAACATCTGATGCGTAATCAGGGTCACACTGAGGAGCTTACAATGCTCTGCTTATGCGGTCTGGATGCAAAGTTTCAAGTGATGACTCAGTGGGAGATTCATCAGTACGATGTTGTCATCTGATGGAGCAAAGCCACCACCTTAAGAGAACTATCTGATCCATCGGTAGCATCAATTCTACAACAAAACCATACAGGCATATACATTCGACAGCAACAATCTGAGTTAGTGTTTGATAACATTTGATCAAGTAGTCGCAGAGCTCGGAGTAACCCAATAATGCCACCCAAAGAGATGTAAAGAAGCACATCAGTGTCTTTGGGTTCGCAAAAAGTCTCATTCACGTTTCCTCCAAGCTCTTTCAGAGAGAAAACTAATATCTGTGATCATTTTTACTCTGTGTGCAGGAAGTAAGGGAGAAAAAAATGGCGATAGACTCCTGTGTGATTTCATCCAAGTGAATACTGGGATTTATCCATTATTGACTGGCGAGCAGAGGTGTGTGTCTCTATACGGTGGAGGAGAGGGTTCGTTTGAGCCACAGGTATTTAAGGAGGATTTGCATGAGCAACAGCTCAAGGATGAGGTGTTACAGGATCCTCTTTGACTTTTTCCATCATGTTTGCTCAGCAAATGAAAAAGGGGCTAGAATAAACAGCAGTAAACTTCCTTTTAGACTTGTCTTTTTCTTTTAGTCCCTTCCTTTAGGCAGTCAGTACAATTTTATTTGCATAAGCAGATGTAAGAGGGCCGCAAGCCGTTTTTCATTTCAGCTTTATACTTTCCACACAAAACGAGTGTCTTTTGTGATTTATGACGTGTGAAATCGTATAACGTGTTAAAAGAGGGAATCAGCCACAGAGAGTCAGTGTCTGGGCATGTACTTCTTTACCCTGAAAGGAGTAATATGTATTTTTTCTGCATTAGAAAAAAAACGACTAGACCCATGTTATATATTTTGTTGGGTTGTGTACTACTAACATTATCTCAACTTTTTCAAAGATTTTCCAACTGTATGACTCTGTATGAATCTTTAATTTGAATCCAAGTAATGGTGTGTTTCATTTGGTCGCCTGTAAATGGCGTCATATCCCCTTTACATGTGTCGGCGTTGTTGTTGTCTAAGTACAAACCACATTTTTACAATACACCTTGTAGATCTTGGTCGTTTTTCTATGTTTTGAACAGTCATATGACATCTGGATCTCACAGCCCTCTCCGGGGCATTCTGTTTCCGACAAACGGCACCAGAGAAACACTAATTTTTAAAGGTGCAGTGTGTGGGATTTGGGGACATCTAGCGGTGAGGTTGCAGATTGCCACCAACTGAAACTTTTCCTGTATGCCAAGCATGTAGGAGAACTACTGTGGCCGACACGAAAGCCTGAATGGCCCTATGTATATATGTAGATATAAACGGCTAATTCCAAGGTAATGCTACACACTGTTCCTTTAACATGAAACTGCTTTGTTCAGTGTTTTAATCAGCTGATCCGTTTTGTTTTGGAGAGGAGAAGACCTCTGTGGTGAAAACCTCCTAAACTCTGACGGAATCTTAACCAGGAGAGGCCAACTGCATGGAAAAGCAATGCTGGTAGAGCATGACCCCACGCTACTTCACGGCATAACCAATTGCAAATTACATATTGTGCGTTAAAGGAAGCTTCAATCTGAGTTGAAGATCTCTACCCTGATTAACGGAGATGCATACAAACCTGAATGAGATACATATTTTGGGGGCTCCTTATGTAAGTTGTTCACTGTGTCTTTTCCTTTCAGGTACCGTGCAGCCTGGAGTACTGGGACGAGCTCCAGCAGGCCTTCGTTCCCTTCCGGGAGTTCAGCCTCTCGGAGAGCAGCGCCTGCCAGCTGCCGCTGCCCAGCCTCAGCCTCACCGTCCAGCAGAAGGAGCTGGTGGCCTCAGACCTGTGGAGGATAGTCCTCAACAACAACGGCGAGGGAGGAGATGAGCAGAGGTGTGTGGGGGGGGGGGGGGAAACCTGCGTTTTATTTAGCTTTTTCTCGGTGCTCTTAGGTATTTGTACGCAGTATGTGTGCCGTCCAGTGATAGAGAAAGCAGAGAGAGAGAAAGAAAGAAAGAGAGAGAAAGCGCACCCAGGCCGCCGAGCACAAAGAGCCAGCAATGTGTCCCTCGCCCCACATCTGGCGTGCAGGAGCAGGGAGCGGGCTTGGAAGGCGTTCAGATCGGCCTAATGAGATTTCCCAGCACACCAAGTGCCTGTCAGGGCCCATCCGGATTCCTTCCTGCTTACCTTGAGTGTATCTAATCGAGGGGGAAGCTCAGGGGGAAGCGAGAGGAGCGGAGAGCCCCCTTTTGGGTTGGCTCATGAGTTCTCAGGTCTGGGTTGGGCCGGGCTGAGCTGGGATGGGTTGGACCGGTTGGTTCAAGCCTGCCAAGCGCTCCCAACACCTCAACGGGGCTTTTACTCCCCTCTTCCAGCTACCACTGCTTCCTCTCTTCATCTCTCTCACGTCTCACCCCGTCACATCTTCCGTGCTTCGCCCATTTTTCATTTCTCTCATTCCCCATTCCTTCCTCATCTTAATTTTCTCTCTTTTTTCTGGCTCTCTCTCTCTCTCTCTCTCCCCCCTTTTTACTTCCTCTCGGGATTTCGGGAACTTTTTAGTGGAAGAGAATTGCCAAGCCCACATTCTGTGTGGCTTAGAGAGCTCCAGAGGAGCAGAGAGGGAGGAATAAGAAAACATGTAAGAGAAGAAACAGAGAAAAAAGTACCAGCAGTACCAGATACAGTGTAGAGCAAAATATACATCTGCGTTGCATTACAATCATAGCCCAAACACTACATTTCCTTTATGTTTAAATTATTTGTCTTTTTTGATCAAAACTGAGTCCCCTTCCCCTTACTCGCCCGTTTCATCTGCCTTACTTTAGTTTCCAGCAAGAAAAAAATAACTTGGCTGCCCTGCCAACTGGAAGTAATGAAAATTGTCAACATATGATGCTTATCTTTTTTAAGGAGCACTCTGCTGCTCCAGCGTTTCTCGGGTCCTGAGCGTTTCCTGCTGGAGTTTTTTATTTTTATTTTTTTACGTTGGATCATGGTAGCAGCAAATTACAGAGCAAATGGTCATTCACTTCAATTACCTTCCATTCCACATCATCAACCATGACATGCAATTAATGTTCACGGAGAGGCTCTCCTGGAAACTGCGGCAGTAATAATGTACCTAAACTCGCAGGCTGGGACAGCGAGGAGGCCCGCTTCATACTGTTGTCTCTTCTCATTCCCCCTTTTGTCTGAATAATGGTGGCGTTTATCTCCACTGCAGATTTGTGACGAGGATGTCGCGCAATTTGTAACTCGCCGGGCAAGAGACAAAAGCATTCAGCTACAGATGAGGATCAGACTATTTTAATTAGTGGGGAGAATTTTTTGTGGCTGTGATTCCACAGCTGTGCCTGGTGCTTTTGATATTTCAGAAAATCAATAACCATTAGCTAGTTTTTCCCCTTGAAACTGTCCAATCTGAATCACAGTGGTACATTACTCTTTTCTCCTCCTTTATTATTTTCATATGAAACAATGTCATGTTCACAGAGTGCATTCGGTTCATAAGTTTTCTTTATTTCTCTGCACTTAAAGTGGTTTTAGTGTTCTGTTGTGGTTTTTACAGTCAGTCACACCACTGAATCTGTTCCTGTCTGCTGTGTCTCATCTTCCCCCTCCAGTTCGGAGAGTGAGTCCGGGTCCCAGCTGCCCTGCGATCAGTTGGTCTCCCCAATCGCGTTGGCGGCCTGCACCCGCGTGGACTCCTGCTTCGCTCCCTGGTTTGTCCCCTCCCTGGGCATGTCCCTTCAACTTGCGCAGCTGGACATTCACCTCTGCCACCATCTAGAACAGCTGGGCACAGGTAGGACACAGAACGCGCAGTTCTTCTGAGTTTGAAGATAAAGATCAGTCGGGCTGCACCAAATGGTTCAAAGCTTCGCTCATGACATTACAATACATTCGTATTCTAAAACATTTGAATGCTGACCAGCTTTTTTTAAACAGTTACAGATAAAGACTAGGCTACACTAATTGTTAGTAGGCTTTACTGGGTCTGATTCTTTGAATGTAAAAAAAAGACACTCGGTACAGCCTTAAAGATGAGTACATTTCAAAAAAACGTAAGAATTGGATCTTTTGACAGTTCTGCCATGTGATCAGTCCAGTCTCTTAATGCGGATGCTGTGTCTCACTCTGCTCTCAGCTCCACCGAGACAGCTTCGTCCCTTCCTGCCAGACAGGAAGTTGCCTCAGGAGCAGGAGTTCATGGTGAGCAGCGCCCGGGAGCCGCGGGTCTTCCTGCGCCAGTGGAGCAGCGGGCCACGTCAGTGTCAGGAGTTCAGCTTCTCCACCCAGCTGGACTGCAAGCTGCTGGAGTACCGAAACCTGACACACCTCCAGCTCCTCCAGCCTTGTGTACTGCAGGTAGAGCTCAGCTATTCATGATAGTTTATCTGCCTGGATGTTTAGGATTCAAAGCACTGATCAGGGAATGTGAAAATGAGTTCATTTAGATGTTTTACTTTTTTTTTTTGTGTGTGTGTGTTTCAGGGCCAGGCTGCAGCCACATGCTGCCCTCAGAACACCACACTGGATGTGAATGTGTTTGTGGATCCGGTGTTCCTCAATATCAGCCAGTATGCCATACACACCGTGGACACTGCCCTGCACAGCTGGCAACAGGTAACAGAGAGATACCTTCATGTACACTTAATATTCAAACACACTCCATAGAACACAATAAAGTATGAGCTCCATGGACTGTTAGTGACAGATTATTGATATTGCTTTCAGAGCATTTGAATCATTTAGCCTTATACAGGCCCTGAGGGTGGAAGTTGTCCTTCAATTTATTTATTTATTTACCCATATCAGAAGCAAAATAGTTGATTTCTTACATGGCAATGTACAAAGGCAATTTCTTGCAAATTTTCACTGCTGCCTGGCAGTGTTGTAGTTAAGAGCACCTGCTGTAAACAACAGCCATGTCACGAGTGTATCGAGACTGAGACAAAACCAAGACTTTGAGGGGTTGAGACCGAGTCATGACCAAGACCAGACCACTGCGAGTCCCACATTGCTTGACACTTACAATAAAATGTGGAACAACAAACAATAGGCAATCCTTAAATTGATCTCAAAGATCCACATTCCCATAAAAACACCCAGAGAAAACAGCTGAAGATTCCTTTTTCATTCACCTCTTTTATCGCCATTTATTATGCTGTGTTTGTATATGTACAAGTGCACCATGAGAATTTTCTTGATATGATAATCAAAAAGCATTGCAGAGTTGAAGCTTATGTTTCATTTGTAATCACTGTAATAATGTTACTCTACAGAGTCCTCTTTGTCTGAGACGAGATGAGACCAACACCTTCAAAATGTGGTCTTGAAACCAGTCTCAAATACTACAACACCGCTGCGTGGTGACGTGCATTTGAAGTGACCACAGTAATCAGTGCTATGGTGACTTATGTAGCAAAGTATTGGAGGATAACTTATTTACTTGTACTAGCATACAGCTATTATATTTGGATCCAGGGGCTAGTGAATCCATAGAAGAAATACGTAGAACATATATGTACCTTTTGAGAATATACAGAAAAAATGTCTTTCTAAACAAACTCACAACAAAGTGGATTTCATGAGAATAGTTTGGGGATGTATGCCAGCGGTGATAAAAACGTTGCCTTTCACTTCGCCGTGAGCTCTGACTACAGTGCTCCCGAGCTTCTAGTCCTTTGGTCCTCGTCATCTCTCAGTTCCCAGCTCTCAGCACTGCCTCTGGTAGCCAGGGTGTATTCGTGTGTGAAGTGATGCCCATGAAAACACGGTAAAACTTGAGTGCTGACACATGCCAAGACTTCATCTGGCCCTAGTCCTCCACCCATTTGTCTACTTGCTCACACAAACACACACCCTGGCCTCTCTGGCTTGGTGTGCCCTATCATGGCTCAGCTCAGCTGCGGCTCTGCTGACTCATACGCTGGCCCCTGGAGACGTTGAAGCACTCACATGGTTTTGCATGCATGCAGACTCCCACTGCCAGGTGAGAGACATGATTACTGGTGTTTTTCTAAGAGCAGCTGTGTTCTTTTACCTGTGGAAAATAAAATGAAACAAGCTGTGTAGGAAATCTACTATAAAATGATTGTCTGGCTCGCAGTTGAATCCCTTTGTTTTCACATCGGTGGCATCGTTGACTCATCAAAAGCTCATACTGGCCGCGTTGGATGATCGGGCATAATTGACCCTTGGCTTCATCATTGCATCATGCTAGCGAATGTTCCCTATTTCTGCTGGTTAATTTAGCCATAAATAAGACTTTGGAAGCGCTGGTGGTGTTGTAATGAATGGTCATGTTGCAGCTTTACTGGAGTGTTTTGGACATGCTGGTATCCATGGTGGGTTTTACACAACAAGCCAAGCATGATTAGTTGGTCGTGTGCTTTGTGCCAAAGCTTTTACTGATACTGATTGGGTGATACGTTTGGCTTTTTTGAACGCCATCTTTGCCCAGTATCTGGAGACACAAAATAGAGGTTAACAATACTCACGCATACAAACACACACAGAATACCTTTCTTCACAAACACAAGCCCCTGAAGGGTGTGTTTACATGTCCACCAGTATACGGATTGAGTCATAAAATGATTAAGCGTGCTGTATTTGTTGTGAAGTGGAGCTTCTAAAGACGACCAACACACGTCTGTTTTTTTACGGAACACTTTTACTGTCTGAAAACTGCAGTCTAACAACCGTTACAGTAAACAGAGCGCACTCTTGCACCCGACATCTAGGTTTTTCCTTATCATCATAGTTAGCATCAATGATACATGTACCATGCTACTTCTCGCTTCTCAAAGTAAAAGCACTTCCTCTTTCATGCTCTTCACAATAAAAGTACACATGCAATCAAACAATTTACAACAGTATTGTCTTGATTGGTCTAAACAGCAGTAGCCTTGTAACTTGTACAGAGCCTTTTAACTAGCTCCAGCCTTTACCACTTTGCTGCACACAAGGGGAAAAAAACACACCATAATTATAAGGCAAATGTGCTGCATGTGGGTTTAGTAGTTATGGAGTAAGGGGAAGAGAGAGGTCAAGTACAAAAGGCAGATTTTTTTTTTTTTTAAGAAAACACACTTCATAAATATTTCCGTCCACCTCAGAGAAGGTTGCGAACACTTAGATCATGAAATATTGTTTCCTTTTTGGTGTTTTCGCTGAAACAAAATCTCGTGAGTGGTGAAAAAAACCTTGGGTGTGATTAAGCCCAAATCCGTCTGGCGGTGAGATGGATGGAAAGGACCGCTCCGGTTAAGCTAAAATGCATCTTTTGATCTGATGGAGGCTTGCATTCCTGACACACTCATGCGCACAAATTGTCCATGCATAGAAAAAACTTGATCCTAATTGAAGACGTAATCAGAAGCAGTTGGAAATGTTAACAGGCCCTGTCCTTCCGCAACAGAAGGATGTATCCCAACGTGTGTAATTGTTTCAGTGATTTTCATGTTTCCTGGTGTCAAGGCTGGCAGCCAGGCCTGTTGTGATGTGGCCCGTAGGGTCAGCATTGAACCGTGGAGAAGATTCCTCAACTACCACACAATCGAAACCTCACAACCCAGACATGGTCATACCAGACCACCACAACCAGAACAGCTGGAGCACTTCCAGATGCAGAGCAATAAATATATATAAAAGAGCCTGCTTGGTGTATGGTTGCAATTCATTCTCGTATAGCTCTGATAATTTATGATATACAGTTGTAGTCATGGTAACATTGACTTCTCTTGTGCCCATGATAACATCCCCGAGGTACTTCTGGCAGTCATAAGTACACCATCCAAATGTCTTGTCATTTATATTGACATGAATGTATATTCAATCTATTATGATACTCGGCATGTTCCCAAGCCGGCAGGCCCTCCTCATCTTTCTTGCCTCTCCTGCAGCGCTTCCCTTGAGCTCCAACCGTCAATCAAGTCCTCGTAGATCAGTTCAGAACTGAGATTGGATGTAGCTCAGGAGGTTCAGCGGATCGTCCACTAACAACAGGGTCAGAGGTTTGATCCCTAGGTTCTCCTGTCCTTGAAAAAGATGCTGAAACCGAAGTTGCTCCCAACGGGCAGGCCAGTATAATTGGCGTGCGAGTTTGTGAAGAGGTTACAAAGAGGCCAATTGTTGAGCGCTGTGTCCGTTGAGGTAGAAAAGCTCTACATTAGTGCAGTCCATTCACCATTTACCTTTCAAATTAAGCTTGAATTATGCTGTTATATGTAAAACTGAAGGTAAAACTCAATCTCGGAACCCATCGCCTATTGCTCAGACGACGGATGAGCCCCTGGGTTCAAGAAGCTATATTTCTGGGGCTCCGGTGGAGCCGACTTCCTTTTCCATGAGCTGCTTGTTGTTTACAGTCCAATTAGCAACTTGAGATGTGAGACTGGAGTGTGTGTTGGGAGCGACGTGTACGACCGGGTTGTTTCACCATTGGCCAGTTTACAAGCTCATTGTAAATCAATGAAAAGTCAAGTCAATGTCAGAAGATAGCCGGTGGGTTCTTACATTGCATTTCAGCCAATGCAGTCAACCTCTTTTGCTGTCCATGTGGACTTTTTACCTGCATTAAACTAAATCCTGCTCAAACCAGATTGGTTAATACTATTCTGCTACAAATGGAAACCAGAACGCTTTCAATCCCAAAATCATGTCCTGTTGTTTGCATATGAGTGCACTATTTGTTTATAGAGCTAAGGTAAACTGCAGTTCTACAAGTTAAGAGGGTTGCTAGGTTCAAAAGAGAAGAAGGAAAAATAATTCTTTCAAAAAGTTTTTTTTTTTT